TTGATAAAGTAGCTCAAAGAAGCCGCTTCTAAAAGTTCCAACTCCAGGAAACTTTTGCACCGCTCAGCCAAAATCATCATCTGAGATAATGATACTGCAGCTATTCTGCTTATTTACTCGTTTTTCACCGTCAGTGTGAAATCCAATGTGTTGTTTAATAACCACTAAACACCGACTGGTCGTTTAAAAATCTGCTATCAGCTACACGTTAATTATAATCCTAAGTCCTAATGGAGTCAGGAGAGGTAGTAAAAAGTAAAAGGTCTACACGTCAGTACGGGACATTAAAATATGTATTTACTGTGTAATTGACGTCATCGTTGTCATATCTTCAGTGTTAAAACTCTTCTGGACTGTCGTGTGAAGTAATCACTGTGTATTTGTACCACATGTTCAGTGTCGTGGATGGTTGGGACAAGTTGATGCTTGAGGACGTGTCATTTCCTCCAGTTTGGCCCAGGCGCTTTATTTTGCCGTCACATGCAACTTCATCATCTTCACCTCGAGTCGACCCACCCATCATTATCAAGCTGGTGACAACACGAACACGCAGCCGTATAACGACAAACTGCCCGGCTGAGGGCGCGGTCGAGTCAGGTTCTGAGCCCCGCTGCAGGGTTCGTATGCGACCGCAGCGGACGATGCATTTCAATGAGACGCAGCCACCGTTTTTCAAGTGCTTGGTATTTTATGCAGGACTGTAACCGGCCTCTGGTTCAAGCTGGAGCGCAGACAGCAGCCTTCGTGTTGTCACTTAGCCCACCGGCATGTGCTGACTCACATGAGAGCGATGTGCCCTTAACCATCGGTGACAGAGTTGACACTAAGTTGTCGATAAGGTCGCGTGGATAACGCTGCGTGACGCTAATGTGGAGAGGCATTCATTAAAGTGCTGAGGCCGAGTGTCAAAGGCTGAGATGTGCAATGGATAAAGATCTGAGTGAGACTCGGTGATGAAACGTACTGGCGTTGACGTGACGCAGCTTTTCAACCCGATCTTTGATAAAACTCTATGATTAGTTTGTGTGAAAATGTTGAGTCATGATTGTCACATGATCAAATTAGGTTTCACTGAAATATTCGCACATTTGCAAAGAGTTAAAGAATATTTACCTTTTACAATGTTGAGGAGTGGAAGTATAATGAAGTACATGTACCTGCATTCACACTAACCTGGTACAAGCGACTTAGCCGTTCCTGACTTCTCCTCCTCGTGGCTGCTCTGCCTGTTCTCTCCGTACAGAGTGCACCTCTGTCTGCGTAGCTCCTCCTCTCTTTCTCGGGCCTCTCGGATGTCCTTCTCTACCTCCGGCTGCAGAGCCAGGGCTGGACGCAGCTTGAAGAAGGGGTTTCGTTGCAGGATGGGAGATTCTCCTCTCGCGGTTCCCTCCCTCGTTTTGCTCCTTGTCTCAGCAGCCACATCCGAGCTTATGGAGTCCATGCTTCTGCACAGGCGTGGATGCTTGTCTTGTTTCGGGTAAGGGGACAAGCGCGTTTTGTCTCGTGAACCCCCAGTTGGGCTTTTTGATCTTGGGTACTCAGGACTTTTCTCTCTCTTCTCAGAGGTTTCAGATTCGAGAAGCCTGAGCGAATGTGCTCCGGTAACAGAGCAACTCCCGAGGGAGAACCTCTCTAGACTGCACGTGCGCTCCAGCACAGACGGATAAACTTCACCTCTTGTGGTCGGATGTTTCCTGAGTCTTGTTGGACCCTCGGTGTTATCCTGCTGGAAAGACTCAAACAGCAGTTTGGTCTCATCGTCTTTGCTGAACCCTCCCGGGATCTTCCCCTGGTTGTCCAGCACCAGTTCTCGGTGAATCTCCTGACTCGTCTCCTTCTGCATCTCCTGCTCAGAGAACTGCCAATCGCTGCGTTGGCCTTCGTCATCCTGGGAGGGGAGTGGCTCAAGCGAGATATTGGTCTTAAAGGGAATCTCCAGCACATCTGGATTATCTGCGAGATTGAAGACACCTCCAGCTCTCTGCAGGTTTTGCTTGGCCTGGTTTTCTTCCTGGAGCTGTCTCTCCATGGAGGTTTCAGCAGCTGAGAATCGGTGTTGGGCTGAAACATTGGGAATTTTGGGGGTTTCACGAGGGTCGATAAGAGACAAATCTGCCGTCACCCATCTGTCACTTTGGTCATCATCAGAGTTCTCAGCATCTTCTGCATCTTCAGACATTGTGGACAAAGACACTCTTGATTTTTTACTCTCTTTGCTCTCGTTCTTTTCCTTTTCGGTCGGATCCTCCTTTGCTCCCTCGTCCATAACAGTGTGAATTCTTCTGTCTTGCATCTCACTTCCGTCTGCAAGCTTCATTTCTCTTGGATCCACTTCCGCCTCAAACTCACCCTTTTCCTTACCTCTTGTTTCTTGGGCCACCTCCATCATATGTCCATCCTGTCGTTGCTGCACCCGCTGCAGACGTTGAAGCAGTTGCTCTCCTTGTTGGATATCTGTTGCTATTCTCTTGCCTCCGTCTCCCTGCTCTCCCTTTGTCGTCGTCCCTTCGGAGCCTTCGAAGTTGGGCTGTTTGAATACTTGTGTTTCGCCGCTGCCGCTCTCTCTCCTCACCCAATCTCTCTTCGTCAGTTTATAGTTCAAAGATCTGGTGTCAACGTGCTCTTCATCGCTGTTGGTCTCCTCAGCAGGAGTCTCCGGTACCTGTGGCTGATTGGCAGCTGAGTCTGTCGTGTTTGGTCCACTGGGCTCTAAATCGTCGTCTTTCTCAATCAGACCAGGACGTGTCGGAACATTTGTTCCCGCTCCGTCACCGTCAACATTTTCTCTGACAGGTTTTGAGTCCGTCTCAGTAAAACGGCAAATATCCTCCTCAGTTTCAGTCCACATCACAGCATCCCCAGCTTCTTCATTTGATTCTTTGCCTCTTGTGGTTTTATCCTGATGATGCCCCTCTGATGGGTCATGGCTTGTTTCCATCGGACAACCAGTGTCCTCAATAGATGGCTGGTCTTCATCTGTTGGTGGTGAGACGACCTTGATGTTGGACAGTGATGCGGCGTCCACGGACTCCTCAGAAGTCTTTGTTGTCCTGGCTATCACTCCATCCACCTTAGTCTGTGCTGCCATTAACTGCCTCTCACCATGATGCCAGTCTAAGCCGCCTGGATTAGCTTTAGCTTCTGTGGCGTCAGTTGCTCCAGTTGAATGGCTCACACTGGAATTATTGACCACTCCACCTGTGCTGCCCTCTGCTGGCAGCAAAAGAGCAATGGGGGTTGGAGGAAGAGGAGGTGGTGGGATGAAGACATCATCTGCGCCCTCATCGTCCATCACGCCGTAGTACCTCTTGATCACTGCACGGGCTTTGGTTTCAACTCGGGGATTCTCACCAGGTGTTATTGCTGATTGGGTGTCGGGGATGCAGGGACCACCATCGTCTTTGGAGACCAGACCCTGGTCCATGGGGACGAGCTTCTGAAACACTCACTCCTGTATTCCCCTTTAATTCTCTCCTGTTTTGATTTAAATGAGTCACATAAGAACATGTTACGGAGGTTGCTAGTTTAATTGCTAATTAATTATAACAAGTTATTCATGGATGATTGAAAGTGATGAAAAGCAGCTTTTACATGAAGATCATCTTGAATTATTTACATGAGGAAACAGATATTCCACATTCCGTCTCATCTGCCGCTTTAACGACACGGCCCCAACTGAAGTAAGAGGATATTTCTTCTGGAACGTTCATGAGTCAAAATGAATTAGCACTAACCCTGCACCTTTCTGGGCATCTGTACTTTTGCTCTCCCACTTTGTAATCCAGCCTTGTAACAGGCACAAGGAGACAACATCAGTTATTTTAGTTCTTTTGAGCAGAGCCTTTTCTCCCTCGGCTGTGACCGAGCACAGGTCATTCTGCTGACAAAGGGAAAGAGTAATCAGCTTTCCTCGGTCTGTTTCGGGACACACACCAGGTACAATATCCGCCCGCCCGGTTGGACACAGACACACTCGTCATCTCAAGAGTTCTCCTGTCAGACGTAGTTTGTGTTCTTTGTTTCGGCCTTGTTCTCGTCTGGTTAACGCACATTTCTGATCAATCACAACCTTTTTTTCAACATGAGTTCTCCTTAATTGAAAACACCGCCTCTGCTTAATCTGGGTTGCATGTGTGAGTCTATATTTACACCTGTATTCAGGAGCTTAATGCCAGCCACGCTGCAGCGTAGGATTATCAACAGCAGCTCCACCATGCTTAATATAAAGCTTATAAGCAACAAGACATAATAAAGTGGCTTAACGAGCTTAACCTGTTTATTCCACCCTCCATTAGAGGAACATTTTCTCCTTGTTGTCATGTAGGCGGCATTAACCGTGCAGTTATTATTCCATTATCCCGTATTTGGAACGAGGAGGCTGTTGTGCTGCTTCTGTTCACATCGATAGTTCATATTTCAAATATTTCAGAAAAACATCATGTTTTGATTTTGACTATAACAAGAGCTGCTGTAAGAGTCTGTGTTCTAGCTATTGAAGCTCTACAATTAAAACCCGCCAGAGACAGAAACGTGTACCAGGGACGTAAACGAGTGCGAAGGTATAAACCCGTAACGCAGAAATGTTGGAAGGAAAACACCCACCTGCTCGTAGATCTGCGGCCATCTTCTGTGCGCGATAACCTCAGTGGAAATATGAATGATCCGGCTGATGATGCAGCTGATCTACTTAGCAGCTCTACTTCCTGTCCTCTGTGTCATGTGAGCAAACAAAATCCTCCTCAGAGAAAAGTGACACGACAATGTAGAAACGTGGAGCTGGACGGGTCAATGATAATGTCTCGTTCAGAACAATTTAAAGGGCGATTCAGGTGTTTTCGGACCTGGGCCTCATGTTTATCAATGACCAACACACCCACATTCATAAGAATAGGGTCTAGGTTTGAAAACATCCCCTTTTAATGTTATAATATTTCCATCCTAAGTTACAGAAAGTGAAATAGTGAATACAAGCCCCATGCTGTTAAAGAAATGACAAGACATCGACACAACCATATATTTTTAATAAGCTGAATAAGATGAACGCCTGTGAACCGGTGCTTTCAGTGAAGTCAGGACATCGAACCACAAGAGACAGTTGAAGGTTTCACACTTCTCCTTCCCTGATATTTAGTTATATCATCCCAGACTCTGATGCTGTTGCCTATAACAACATTGCTTAAGTATATATGTTCTGGCTGATTTTGATAAAGCTCTTCCATAACTCCACAACCAACTCTGGAGAAGAAATATGAAGCACATATTTTTTTTTAGATCAGAGGCGGACTTAAAAACGTTAACATGTAAAACTTGTGTTAGATTGTAGAATACAAACTTCATTGAGACCATGATTCGTCTCATCTTCATGCTGCAAACTGCAAATATTTGTCCTCTCCCCCGTCCTCTTTGGTTTTTCCAGTTCCCGGAGGAAGCACCTTTTAAACATATGGAATATTTCTGGCTGTTAAGGCAAATGACAAATCCCAAGGCAGAGAAAAAGAAGGGTCACTTGAGGTAAGACGTATCAGCACAGCTGCAGGATGGCATATTGAAATGCTCGACTTTGTCCACCAGGGGGTGGAAGTGGATCTTTAATCACACCTCTTCAAAAGTCTTAAAACATCCTGACGCTCTCGATCTTTGATGAAGTGAGGAGCTGGAGGCTCAGACCACCGTGTTAGATAATAGTTCATGCAGCTGTGCACTCATAGAAATGATGGTTAAAGCAGCAGTGGTGTAATAAAAAGGCAAAGTGGTATGAAACACAACAAACCTCCTGATTAAGTCCAGTGAGTCTTTCTCTCACATGACGGAGCAGCACTGGCATCTCTTGGGCTTGGATGAACCTTCTCTCTCTGCTTTACTGGGTGATGGTGATTTACGCAGCCCTCTGTCGCTGTCCCCGCTCTGGACTTTAGCCCCGCCTCCAGCTCCGTCCAGTGGAACGTCCTGAAACTCTCTCGCTTCCTCCCGCTCTGCCGCCTTGTTTGATTCTGACGGAGTTGCAGCAGATGTTTCGGGTCCTAAGACGTATTCCTCTCCATCCTCGGTGATCATGACTCGCTCCGCAGTGAGCATGCCTTCATCGCCCTCTTGGTTGGCGTCTTGGCCAGATGTGGTGTCAGTGTATCCCAGGAACAAGAGGGTCACTGGGCCTTCCTTCAACCTCTGATCGTCGACGTCATTTATTCCCATGTCTCCAAGTGCCATGATGTCATCTTTTGCATCGCTCCCCACGCTCACAGCGCCGCCCGCTACGCTCCGCTCAGCCTCTAAGTCGTAGCTTCTGTCTAACGGCACGCTGTCGTCCTTTGACGCGGCCTGACTGGTGGAAAAACACAGTTTTTCCTGCGGGATCCCGGACGCTTCGACATTCTCAGTCTTCACCTCCGTCATCTTCGGAACGACCGTGACTTCATCCAGCAGCGCTTCCATCCCGACCCCGTCGATGACGCTCAGGATCTGCCCGAGCTCTTCGGTCGAGGGTTGACCTCCTGACCCGCCCACAGTGTGGATGCTCTTCCTGCCATCGTCGAAGACCGTGTGGACCCTTTCGGCACCAGCCGATGTCGGCGCCACTGATCTGACGACGGTGGCCCCTGTCTTTGGGTCCCTCTCCACCTGCACTGCCAACATTCCCATGACTGTAAAACAACAAGCAGAGCAGAACTCCGATGAAACATGAGAAGAAAACAACTCTTACAGATAAATATCGAAGGTGAAAGGTCCAAAGGTTCATGCTGAGTCACAGAATCAGAGCTTTGTGTCACTAATGTGAGAACGTAGGGACACAAAATACAGCCGGCATAAAAAACTAATGAATAGAAAATGACAAAGTGGGCTAAATGTAACTGAGTTTCCGCTCGGTCCCTTCGTTAAGTTGTGCCCTGAAGGCTGAACCTGGACAGAACGACAGTGAACAAGAGGTTCGTTGTTTGAGAGAAGAGACGTAAACAACTGAAGATATCTGCTGTAGCTTATTTTTAAACTTTTATTTTCATTATAACAAAGTGGGACAGATGGAGGCGTGAGGTTCTGATGAACTCAGTGTCCTCTGTGTGAGTCCAGTAATTACGCCACATGATATACTTGATGTTAAGCTACAGTCTCACTGAGCCTCACCTGATCGGCCATCGTCCCCACTCTCATGAAACATCCTCTTCGCCATTTGACTGGAGACGTAATCATCAACCTCTTCTCACTCACTGAGGAAGAAAAGAACAGGGCTGTAAATAAAGATGAGCGTCTCCACTTCCCCCGCAAGTCAGGAACGAAACCAAAATATCTCAGACACCGAAGCTGCCATTTTGCACATTCGGTGCCAGAGTCTGAGCGACTCCGCTGAACACCGGGACCCTGCTAAAACAAATGATTGGATTCAGTCAACAGAGACGCTGGAGTGCTTTTACTTTGAAACAGGTACAGGATGTGCTGCAGAGAGACATTGAAATGTGCGTAAATGATCTCAGGCTCGTCTCCCAAGCTGCTCCAACGTGATATCATGGACGTCAAAATGAAAAGCGACACTCAGACATCCAGTGTGACTTCGTTTTGACTTTTGTTTTCCTTGTCTTTACCTTTGTGCACCAGGTGAAGAGCTGAAAATAGTGGGAGTAAACTTTTGCCCTCGTGGCGTTCTTGTATAATCGAGAGGCTTTTTTTTTTTTTTTCGTGCAGTCGAAGTAGAGCTGTTTTTCAGACGTGGCTCCATTCTGTCACCCCGAGTTAACTGACTGTTCTTCAGGCTGAGATTTAGTTATGGTTCATTATCATCTGTCAAGACATAATAGGTTCTAGGACGACACAGTCATGAGAGAGACAAAGAAGAGACAGAAGCTGATGGTGAACTAATGACGACTTCTCTCCTCGTGTGTCAGTGGCAGCCTGTGGGTAAAGAACAGAGATAAGTGCTCTTCGTGGAGTTTTAACTTTTAACACCAGCCTCCCACCCAGCTCACGTCCCGCCATTTATATTTCAGCCGTCACCAGAGCGAGCGTTAACCCGAGCACAGTGATTTCAGTCATGCAGTCGGCTGCCAAGGTTGGACTGAGCTAAATATGTACAGTACAGTACATTCAAAATAACGGTGAAACATTTGGTTGAGGTTAAAGTTCATATATTAATAACTTCATATGTGTTATGGCTGTATACTTTTTTATTTTATGGTTCATGTACTCTTGATTGATTTAAGATAAGATAAGAAAATTATCTTCTCACTGCAGCAGATGATAAAAGAATCAAATTGGGAATAAAATGAAACAAAATAAAGTTTATTTTAATTATTTGTGCAGAAGTAAAATCATTTAAAAGATGGTGAGTTAAAAAACAAAGTTTTAAATGAATCATTGACAGAATTTTGCAGTTTGAATATCACAACAAGCCGGTCATTCAATTCAGGGGAAAGTTCTGGTTTCATTCACTGATGCAGTGAAATTATTCAGTGGCACGGTTGTTGTGTTTTTTATTCATGATACATCATTTGAGGTGCACAAATCGTCCCAGTTGTTTTGGGAAGTCAAATGTTTTTCTGTTTGTTGTAACATTTATTTAACGGTTGCCAAAGCACCGGGGGTGGGGGGGGAGTCAGGAGGCCAAACTGGATTCTGTTTGCATCACATGACCCTTATTTTAAATTCAGATGTTTCTCTTCCGTGCTTGGAGGAGAGTTCGGAATCTTAGATTTGCTTCCTTCACAGCATCAAAAATGATTTCAGGCTATTTATGCTTCCAACCTTATGAAGCGAGGAGACACAGTTATTGTTGGATTTACCGTTTGCTGTATGTGTGAGGTAGTTTTTTTTTTATCTGTGTGCGTTTCTCTCGTCACTGAGTCACATCTGCTTATCTCACCTGATAGTGGCTGTGTGTTGCTGCTGCAGCTGCACAGTTCACACACTCTTTGTTTTCTCCTTCAGACGCTTGCTCCTCTTCTCTGGCATCAGCTGCCTCTTCCTCCTCGACCTCGGGCGTCTCTTGACTTTCGGTTTGTTCACTGTAACACACTCATACAAATATGCAAATTACAGCTCAAATCATAAATGATTCAGAGCCGCGGACCAGAAAATAAAAAGAGACGCTGTGTGTGTGTTTGTGTGTGTGTTTGTGTTCGAGGCAGTAATCCGTCAACATAGCTGCCTCCTGTTTGATGTTGTCATGCTCGACAGCGACGTGAATCTGTGATAAAACAGATTTTTGCATGTTTGCGTTGTACAGAAATCAGTGTCTGAACCCTACATATGTTTTTCTGACAGTATCACACGGGACGACTTGCAGCAGTAGAGCATTGTCCCGATGATGCATCTACCAGCTCTGCTCTTTTCAATAAAAGCTGGGGAAGTGTTTGCATCAAGAAAAGTGAATATATACGAACACATGAGAGCAGTAATATGACTGTGGCTCCTACTTGACCATTAGAAGCTTCCACCAGTAACTGATTAACTTAACTTAGCATGAAACCTGGGGGGGGACACTACGCCATCGATGGAAGATTGGGAGGTGAAGGTAGATACCAGATGTACAGCTACAGATCTGTGTCTATCAGTGCACGATCCCCTGTTGTCAAATAGATATCATAAAAAAAAACAAATGGATGTGATACTGAGAATATCAACATCTCGTTTGAGAGAAAAACTCACATTTAATAGAAGAAGATGACGAAGGAGTCGATGTATCTTCAGGCTAAACTCAGTTAACTGCAGCGGAGTGTCACTGCTGCCAGGAACACACATGCCCCGAGGCATCGGGTGCTCGGAGAAAGCAGAAATGTGTTTCTTCTCGAGGCTTTTCCAGTTTGCCTGATGCACCACTGAGCTACTGACTGCATGGATTGTATCGGTTGCTGTGTGTTCATATTTAAGAGAGCGTGTCCTGCAGGGAACAGTGAGTAGTTAATGGGATGCAGACCAACTTAGTGAGAAGAATCCCTAAGAATAATGTGCTTTCTCTGCTCCGTCATCACCCCTTCCTCCGGGAACTTTTTAATTAAGGTCATTTCCTGCTGTAGGTCAGGCTGCGCTCGTAGCAACTGGTTCTTTAAGTTTCATCACATGTTGAACAACTGAACTGAAAACAGCTTGTTCGCGTCTGACAGGGACTGAAGTCCAAGTGACTCCACCCATAAACGCTTGACGTCAGCTGGAGAGCAGCTCAGTGACGAGAGGGTGGGACACAGCAGCGGTCATATTCTAACATGAAGCAGCTGGAGGCCAACAATGAAAACCATCGGGTTAGAGCCCAACTTTCAAAAAGCACTTTTAGAAGAATTTCTCATTCTTCCATCGACGTCTCTGAGAATCCTTGAGAAACTACACATCCCATAATCCTTTGCGAATGAGCCCTTTCCAACGCTTCTCCTTGAATTGAACCTTGTTATAGCAACGTTCAAGCAACTTGTTCGAAACCGACGCTGAACCATCCTATCGACGTCTCTGGCTGTTGTAAAGATTTCCATGGTAACTGAGCTCCACCTATCAGAGTCGGCGCTATCGCACCTGAGGATTGTGGGTAGCGTAGTATTTCTCCTTGGCATCATGAGTGAAACATGTTTTTCTTGAAACAGTTAAAATACAAACTTGTGGCTTCTACAAGTGACTTTGTTTCACAGTCTCGTGGTAAATCTACCTCGGATGGTTAAAATATTTCAATCTTCTTTCTACTCAGAAAATGAATGAGATTTAAAATATATGTTGTTTGAAACAGGGTCGATAGATCCTGACCTGTTTCTGGGCCGTCTTCATTCACCCTCCTCAGCTTCTTCTCTTCTCGTCGAAGTCTCTGCAGGTGAAAATGATCCCTTTAAAATAAAAACAAACACGTGAACACCCGCTGCTACTTTTCTGTCTCGGTTGTTAAAGTTTTTCATCTAAGTTGGTAAAAAACTAATCAAACTGTGGGTTTGTTGAGTCTGTTTGTCCAAATCTCAATTGGTAAAGTTAGGTGGCTGCACTCCGGCGCACACAAAAACACAACTTATCTAACTTTCACTGACGAGACTTACCTCTCGCGAGCAAAACAAAAAGTCTTCAATTAGTCCCAAATATAAAAAAGCAGGTTGTTGTGAACTGAAGCCACTGCTGTACTTTCTCGTTCTGAGAGTACTGCACTTCTGATGGTGGGTTACACCCGCTTTTTAATACAATTCTTTGGTAACACCCCTCTGCAGTCATGTTCCCTCAGGACAAGGACGTCTTCTGTATGAAAGCAGAGAAGAGAGGGAGGGAGGGAGGGAGAAGGGAGGGAGGGGTATTTTTAGGGGACGTGACCAACAGATTAAAGCGTCTGATACAGCTGGCGGAGAGCAGGGATGCCGAGAGAAATAGTTCAGTGACACAGCACATTGTCTGCATGCTGACGCCGGCTCAGTGCTGTTCATGTGCGCCGTAAACATGCCGACGTCCGCTCCGGCCCCTTGCTCGCTCTCTGGTAAAGTGGGTCACTCGCGTTCGGGCTGATTTATTTCTTTATTTTGTACATTAGAGAAGAGGTCGAGGAGGCTGCGCTCAGGCCCTGCAACCTTTTTATTTCACAGACCAGCGATTATTGGCCAGAAAGTAAACTGGGGAATGTTCTTTGCATGCTCACCTCAGGCAGCGCAGATCAAGTGCGAGTGTTCCTCTGAAGTGACGTTGTTGGTGCGGTAAGATTGTTTTGACAGGAGGTGAGAGTTCCAGTGGGTTTTAGGCGGACTGGGAATGGACAGTATAAAGGGGAAAAGTAAGGACAGACATTTGTTGGTTCTTCTTTGCTTCGTGCTTTGGATCTAACATGACAATGGACATTCAATTTAACTTGCAGCAGCAACGTCCCAGTTTTCTAGCGGTGATGGAACCAATGGTACGGTTAATGATGTTGTGCCACAGCCTCACTGCAAACACCCATAGCATTAATTGTAATAGCTTTTTATTTCATCATGGATTCTCACCTGTTGATATTACAACTGCTGTGTCAGATGCATGTATTTTTATTAATCGCACCATTTTAAACTTAAACTATGTTTTTTCTTTCACGTACAGTTGACTATGCATGTTAGAACTATAGAGTTACACTATTTTAACATGACATTATTTATTTATGTTACTGAACAGGGACTTGTGCAGTTCAGGAGCAACATGCAAATATAAATTGCAATAATTTATAATAACTCATAATTTAGTTGGAATAACACTTTTTAAATTCGGGAGCATGAAGTGATTTCCAGAGCAGGGAGATAAAATACACACATTATAAATTACAAATTATAATCACACAGCACAAGAAGTTAAAAAACAATAAGAACGCCTCCCACGCAGTTTGTGCGCTGGTGTGTAACAGCGGTCTGCGTCTGTGTGTGCGGATTATGTCACCGAGTCCGGTCGTCTCATTGGTCACTTTAACAGTTTTTGGAACTTGAAAGCAACGTCCAGATTATTTTCTGCAAACCAAACTGAGATCAGAGGAAAGTTTATTAAAACCTGATGCAACGATTAAAAAGGATGTGAACCCGTGCTCAGTGTCTCAGCTGGTGTCTCATCCATGTTAATGTGGGGGCCGAATTGACAGACTCATTGATTGACGGAGCTCCGCTCAGTGGATTGATAAAGAGACGGTGGGGTACTGCATCGATCGGTCTCAGCTCAGAGAGGGG